ACCTGTAACTGAAACAGGTTCAACCATGCTGAAACTTTCTGGAAATACTGGTTTTGACGATATAGCGTAGTTTTAAAGATTTCACTGTTTGTCGGTCTGCTGAAAGGGCCCGATCTTTCAAGTGTTCAGTAACGTTTTAATTTTTTTTAAAAACTGTTTCCATCAGTTCTGAATTATGACCACCCAAGAGCGTCTCTACTGCCAATTTTGAATGTTCTTTAGACTCAGTTTAAGCATATTTTTGTATAGCTCCTGAAAACGTACGAATGTTTCTCGGCACAGCTACGACGTAGTTATTAAAAACAAGCATATGAAAGGCATTCAGTCGAATAAGCAATATCATCTTCTTTGATACTGTAATATGTGAAGGCTTATTTCAGAAATGCAATCATAAATTAACGCAGTTATGTTCAGTGAAGCATTTACGGGTTGTTAGGGTAAGCTGAATTGTTTCAGATGATGAATCATCGAGGTGGACAGAGCCGTCGATTTTATAGCGAATTATTGAGCTCTTTAAGCCGTATCACGAATATATTTTATGGACGTGTGACCAGTTTGTTTCGGTAGTAGAACTTTCTCGAACCAGGTAGGAAACAGCTGGCTACTGCGGTACGTAAAGAAAACTTACTGCCACTAACTTGTTACACATGAACTTCATCTGTTCTGAGGGCGAATGTTTTGACACTTAGTCGAAATTTTTTCCAGGATAAAAATATGCAGCGATTCATTTTTTCTGGAATTAGATTAGTTGGTGCCTATAAAGCAGGTTTGTTTTACGCATAATTAAAACAGTTCATTTTGTAAAATAATGCTGCAGTGGTCAGTTACAGCAAGTCACTTCGCACTCACGGACATCCATTCCACGTGGAGAAAACAGAGATTTGTTATTATCTACTGGCAACAAATGCTTGCATAACAAATCTCAACAAGATATGGCAAAGTCGAAACAGTAAAAACCTAAACAAGCTGAGACTTTGATCTGATTGAATACGAATGCAGAATTGAAACGATACCTCAAATCCGTTTCAAATGTGAGGTTGTGGATCTTTCAGGGTGGCCTTACGTCCAGAATATGGGTCCTAAAGCGACTTGGTCACTTGATTACTTAACTTCGTCTTAAATGTACAATGGTGAAAACCACCACTTGCGACCACGTCGCTGGAACGGGATTGCGACTCTGTGTCTAAAATCATAAGTCATTCTACAGGAACTGGTTGCGAACCGTGCAAGGAGCTATACTGTGTGCCTGATCGTCACGCATATCGCAAAAATCGCGCAAGATGAGGGATATGGCGTGAAATAGTGCATCGTATCTTCTGCTCTCTTGACAATATTTAGCGCTTAATGAACGGTTGAATGATCTCCCAAGTCCATTCCATGTAAGTTATTAAAAGGAAATTGGAAATTGACAAAATATAATAGTATTCTGCTAAATGATGTAATAAGAAATCTTAAGCGGTATGTTTGTAATGGGTATAGCAAAGTAATGAAGTGGTACCCTTGGAGCAATCAGAGATGACCATCGCTTTCAGTACGTAGTTGACGAAACAATGGAGATTCGGCAGCTTCAAAAGACGACCCTCCCATGTCGCGTCTGTCATTTCAGCGACAGTAAGGAAGGCAGTTTCGTAACCTCTCATCAGTGGTTGTATATATACATTGCTATAAGTCAAGCTAACAATATTCGTTATGTTTCATCTTTCTCATATTCCCCGAGAGTGGTTGGTTCATTCATCAATGTTGTATGTTTTGAACAGCGGAATATTCTAAGGCAGAGGTCTGTGCTGGTCGTTGTCGTGAATTGGCCATTGGAACTGACCGCCTCTTTTAGCAGTAACAAGATTTGATGAGGACCCTGTTTAGAGGATGACGCAGGTTCTATCAGATGTTCTTTTTCACTCAGTTGGTTTGGCTTCAGTTTTGCTTCCAGTGCTAAACCTGTGGATATGAACCGTACCTAAGTCTCATAGCTGTTCATAAACCTTAGACTGCGAAACACATCATGCAAAGATTTTTTGGGAATGGTAAGACAGGGAGGTGAATAAATGGGCTAGGGCACATACCAGAGTCTGCAGTGTCATTGCCCAAGTGAAAAAGTTAAAGTGACAGTGCACTGAACACGTTTCAAGATGAACCTACTATTGCTGGATCAGAGAGATGTTAGAGTTACGTTGGTTTCCAAGAAGGAGTAAGCGGTTCGTATGACGACCTTCAGATTGATGGCTACGAGCTGGTGATGTGGATCGGCATAAAAACTGTTAATGTTTCTGTTTGAGATGTTACCGGCATATTGTTCTTTGTTACGCAGCCTGGCTTACTGCTGAACCGAGTACTACTAGGAGCATGTCTTTGGCTGGACTGAGTACAAGCGTTCTCAGATAAGTGTCCTAGCTGTACTGGATAGATACAGAATATGAGCTGAGAGTATTTGCTTTGTGGTGCAGGTTTCGCTTCCTCTACGTAAACTAATATTTTTAGATTCTTAGATTTATGATGGCAATGTGATCGGATCATAGCCAAATATTAACAGTGACCAAGGCACATAGCAAGGTTCTCTGCTTGGGCTCAGGGCCTAATGCTATAGTACATCATGATTCTTCGAAAGACGCCGTGTTCTTGTCTACGAATGCTTGCTCAAAGTTTTCTGTACATTCAGCTAAGGGTCATTTCTTAACGCTTACAACCACATCGATACATTGCTCGTAAGATTCCACGTATTCTTCTTTGACTAAAGTTGCTCAGTCAGTAGAGCGTTGCACTCACGATCGAACAGTCATAGCTTGGAGTTCCGGTCAGGTCACTTACCCTTCATCCTTCTGATAAACAGGCACGATTTCATGAGAAAGAAACTGGATAATACACGCTCCTGTTGTCATCAAGTTGCAGAAATCACATGAATGAAATTGTATAAATGCCTTGCGAATGGGTTAAATCATAAACAGGAGTCATCAGTGTCATTGCAAGAGCGCAGAAACTGAAATGGCGCTTCATTTCAGGGCTGGGGTCTAAGAAAATTCACCGTCGTTAAGTCCATTGATGTATTTTTTCCAGGATTAGATTCCAAGCGACAGTAAGCCGTCATTTTGTGGAAAGATACTCAAATTGATGGCAGGATGAGCTGAAGATATTTGTTGGAGCAACGTGGATTAGAACTACAGGAGTCAGCTTTATGCCTGTTTCTTGTAAGGGCCTTAATCTAGCAGTTCACCGAATGAGGTTGCTGATTACTGCAAACTGTAACCTTTGAAAAGCAGGCTGTAATGCGACTGCTATAGCAGTATATTCAATTGAATGATTAATTGTGAGGATCTGATTGCAGTCATTCGGTAGTGCCAGTTTAACCTGTAACTGTTTCGTTCTTTATCACAGACCTTTATGCTTAACTACTTGACTGAATATGCTTTTGAGTAATACTATGGTGTAAATTTGGATTTATCTATCGAAAGTATGTTAATAAGTA